GCCCCCCCTTTTTCTATGTTCCCAGACTTGTTGTCCAAATAGCTCATTACCTAGCCAGTAGAAATTGCCCCAAAGGTGTGTGGAAAGGTAGTCCGCCTCTATGGCTGGAAAAACTTATGCCAACAGTTGATGTTTTCATCAATGGCCCAACGAGTGATTCTGAACAATTCTGATCCCAGAGGTTGCCTGTTCATGCCCAATTCCTTCATACACAAACCTGGCAATTATGCTTCAGATACCACATCCTACCATATTTTTTTCATCACAAGGCAAATGTTGTGTTAAAAAATAACTTTATTTATCTTTTTCTACCTTCTCTACAGTGACTACGCAATTACTTACAGGTAGGATTTCTTGTTCCCTCCATAAAGAATATAAATATCTGCTTAATTTGAAGCCAAAAAAAAGTAACTGCTTAATTCGCCTAGCCAAGCAGATATTGCTTCCTCCGTCTGGCTCCTCTTGCTCTAGAGATTTATCGAGCACCTTTCAGTGCCAATAGTGCAGCTCCATATGAAGCTTCTGTCTGAATTGCCCGACTTACAGGTAAACCAAGCACCCTCTCTCTTATCTTTGTCCATTTATCATTTTTGGCTCCCCCTCCAGCTGTGAAAACTTCGTCTACTTGGGTTGCACCTAGATCCTTCAGTAACCCATAAGCCTTTGCCTGAAAGGCAAGCAAGTCCATGTGTTTCAACATCACAAAACTTAATTCAGCAATTGGCTGCATACATGTTATTTCGATATAGAACTAGCATCTAGTCTACTTATTAACCCTTGTATCAGACAGAAGGGAGATCCCATACCTCAATGCGAGCAATGGATTCAAAAATTCCATGTAAGTAGTCTACATCGCTTTCTGGGCGTGGATGCAACCTGTGCAAAATGGTCAATAATCAACCGACCATTGGCAGTGTCACAGGAAACCATCAGTAACTTCTTATAGTGGTATAAGCATAAACTCTATTTATCCCCATCAGCTTATTTTTTCCATTAAATGTTAAGATAAAAACACAAATACACAATAAAGATTAGTTCTTAGACTCGAGGCATTTCACATGGTAGCTTTGATGGTTGCTTCAGAACAATGCCCCACTTATGTGCCTTAATAGCAGTGTTTTAAAAACCGACCCGGAGGTGAACCGTTTTTACCTTCAAGTCATGGGTCACCGGTTCGACCATCCAAGTCGAACGGGTCAGACTGTGCCACATCAGCATCTATATATTTTAAGTATATATAACATACATACATATATATATGTATATGTATATATATATATATATATGTCTGTGTGTGTGTGTATGTATGTGTGTGTGTAGACATGATATATGTATTATTTTATAATTAAACTACGTTTTTTAATTCAGTTTTTTAATTTTTTATCTATAAAAATATTAAAATATGTGATTTGAGGCCAAAACAGGGTTTTTTTTTTGCGAAAATAGCAGGGCAAGGCGCCTTTGACACCTTGGGATGCATAGATCTCAAAAAGTTACCCAAAATAAAAATAAAAATAAAAAATCATCTCAATCAGACATCGGAGTGCAAAGTTATGGCCTCCTGAAGTTTGCATACACAATTAGTATGCAACCCGCGACCCGGTGACCAAGTTGCCAGTTCAACGGTTCAACTGTCTGGATCGATGGTTTTGTTGACTTTTCAATGGTTTTTGGGGCAACACGGGGTTTTATAAGAACCGGACCCAGAAAGTCGGCCAGGTGACAGTTTGAATGGTTCGACTGTTCGGGTCAACGGTAGGTTAAAAACATTGTTTAATAGTATGTCCTTGATATATTCTTTCCCAGGATTAACAAATCTAATGGTATATACATTTCAATGATATTTGATAATGACATCAACACATAATGATGTGTCAACTGTCAATTTTTTCCCAAGGTTCATTGAACCACCAGCCAAAGTATGAAGTACAAATTAGATTTCTTACATAGCGAAGGATATCCTCTTCTTCATATTTTGATTTCCTTCACCCAGCACACAATACCTAGTGTTTTGTAATATCCATAGTCACACACACACACACACACATCTCCTCTAATAGCAACTAATAATATGATCAAAATAAAAAGAAATAAGTTTCAAGGTCATTACTCTATCATAGTGAAGTCAGGATGGAGACCCCAACACAAATGTCTGACTTTGTCCAGCCCATGATAGTGATTTATATTTTATTAATATTTGAACCAATTTTGAGTGCTTTTCTTTTTTTTTTTTTTTTGGGGGNGGGGGGGGGTAAATTGGCTTCAGATTGCTTTCTTTAGTCGTTTATCTTTCTCTCTGTTTCTTTCAACCCAATGTTCTCAAACCCCAGAGGTGTTGCATACAGAATAAGTACTGTAGTGACAAGTCCCATCAGAATAAGTACTGTAGTCATGATGTTATCCTAATGAAATCACTTTTTATTACCTCACTTTGTTAGGAAATTTAGATCCTCTAAGGCTCAAGCTGAAACTTATCTCTGTTTGGGTGACCAAAAGAATATATTGCTTTATGAAGTGTGTCAACATGCTTCCTCGTGAAGTCAATTTTCACTCATATTGTTCCATTTAGATATGTGAACATCAACAATTTTCCATTTATTAACTCTATACCAAATCCTTAAAACTATGAGTAGAAATCACTGATTGCAGTTTTAGATGAATTCCTTGTGAGGAGAAAGAAGAAGATGAAGAATTTTAGTAGTAGAGAGAAGAGAGGAGAAGAAAATGAGTGGGATGTCAACCAGAATTGAATTAGTTCTGGCCGCCAACCCCTCTTTGTATTATATACTCAAATTAAAAGAATAAGAGATTACAAGAATGCCCTTAGTAGGGCGGCTACTTAAGTAGTTGAACAGTCGCAACTTAAAAAAACATAAACTAATGGGCCTAAAGCCCAATAACTTCCCAACTTAACAACTTAAAAAATACAAGATAAATAACTGGGCCCAATAACTAGAAATCGGCCCAACTCAACACTCCCCCTCAAGTTGGGAGTAAATGTCACACATTCCCAACTTGCGTAGGTCATGCTCTTGTGAGAACATCAACAAGCTGCAAATCAGAAGCAATGTATGGGAGACAAACTTCCCCAGAAGTCACCCTTTTTCTGATTAAATGTCTATCCACTTCAATGTGCTTTGTCCGGTTATGCTGAACTGGGTTATGGGCAATGTTAATTGCTGCCTAATTATCAAAGTACAGCATCATAGGTTCTTCTGCCTTTACACCAATATCTCCTAACAAGGAATGGATCCAGAGAAGTTCTGAAACTCCATGTGCCATGGCCCTGTATTCAGCTTCTGCACTTGATCTTGCCACCACTGTCTGTTTCTTTCTTTTCCACGAGACTAGGTTACCCCCAACAAGGGTGCAGACTCCTAAAGTAGATCTCCTATCTGTGAAAATTTGAGAGAAAAATGAATTGATTGTATTGTCTTGGAAGGAGCATATACACAACTTTATATAGAATTACAGAGCTAATTTACAGGGTGATAAAATAGGAAACTAACTTTTCCTAAAAAACTAATTTCTATATCAGTGGGATTCTCCAATTAATATCCCATGATTCTA